GTTTATTAACTGCAGATAGGAATTGTTGGGAGAACAGGAGCTGGAAAGAGTTCTATTATTGCTTCGTTATTTCGCATGACAGAACCAATGGGAAGAATAACTATCGATGGAATTGACACTAAAGATATTGGTCTTCGGGATTTGCGCAGTAAATTATCCATCATTCCTCAAGTAAATAAAATTATTTCAGTTAAAATAATTTTTTTCCAATAATTTTTATGATTAATTTTTGCCAATTTTTATTCTCTTCTGGATAAATGTTTAATATATTAAATAATATAAAACATACCATTTAACTATATTTTATTATGTCTGGAACGCAGACAACTTGAAGTGTCAGCCTACATTTCTAGAACACCTGGAATCAGATAGGAATTAATTAAAATCTCGAGAAATTTTTTGTAGATTAGTTTGTTTATGGTAGGTCAGCACATCTTTAAATATATTTTAGTATTTTAGGCTTAGCTGAAATCATAATTTATTTGATAAAAAGGCTTTTCTACAATTCACATGCCCAAAAAAGTAAACGGAAATTAATATACAAGACAAATAAATATATATATTGTCACATATAAATAATATAAATTATTTATTTATCAAATCACTTTCTTAGTAATTGACAAAAAATAATTTCATTTTTTCTATATCACTGAACATTACATCTTCTGTCATCATGTGTATCGCATTGTCTAAAATTTGAATGAAGTGCGAGAGCAATGTATGTACAACTTTCGTGTGTAATTACTGTAACTCCAGAAAGTATCAATATAGAATTAATATATCTTTAATTAATAGTATTTCTCATAACATTTGATCTTTTTTAATAATTTAATTAGAAAATGTAAAATTTTAGGCAAAAATTGTCATTGATTTTGATGGGAAAATTATATTTTCTAAAACAAAGAAACTGGAAAAAGTCATTTCCTTCAATGGAAGTTGAAACATTCTTTTGTTTTCCCTTATCTACTAAAAATCTTAGTCACTCTTGGAATTGTCAACCCCTCGGTAAATCCCCTTTTTCCTGTTCACGTGGAAAAATGTCAATTGATGATTGGTGAAAATTCATGAGAAAGAGGAAGAATCTAGAATCATTCGAAGTGTACGCTGAAAGATCCAAAAGAGGACAGACGTATCCCACATCAGCTCCCGACGGTTAACGCCCATAACCAATTCCCGAAGTTTTCTAAATGAGTTATAAGTCGGTAAAACTAGAGAAGTATTTGTTTAAATATGTACCATTCAAGAAGTAACGAAGAAAGTACCGTCGTATTAATCTGAAAGACAGATGAAGATAAAGATAGTAGAGGTAGTATGAATTTGATAGAAATTGTGAGCTCTCTCTCTCTCTCTTTCTCGAAACTAGCTTTATTCGAAGATTGATTTAATTTTGTATAATTTTGTTTATTTTTGTTTCATTAAATATTTGATTTATTTGTTAAATAGAATGTCTCTTAGATATCTGAATGAAATATATTTCATCATCTCCAATATCAATACGCGTGTTAATCCGCATACTACAAGAATTGATTAACTGGTGTCAGGAATCCTGACAGAAGGAAAGGATGATTATGCGATCATCTAATTCTGCTTTAAATTAACATTCAAACTGTAAGTCCCTCCACATTCGATTTCTTGGGATAGAAAAGTCATTCTTCTAGACAAACAGAGGGCTAATCAAAGGAATAGTTCGCCGATTAAGTGATATTAGAGTCTTACTTACTCCATATCCCCGGCTAGCCCCTCACATATACTTTTAAGTATTACAGATTTGATCTTAAAACTTTTGTCCACTTGTATACTTCGACTATTTTACTAGAACTACAGCGTTTGACAAGTTACTGTTGTGAGAATTCGGGGGTCTATATACCAGACGTGACCTTTCCCGGTATCGAGACACTTAGGCCTGCCCACATTGTTACTGGATGGCTCTAAGTTAGTATGTCCTCAGTATAGCTATATCCCTTGTCGTCAGTTCCTGACACCAGTTAGGATTAACTTAAATGCATTCTAACTCGCGTCAAAGCAATCTGTTCTGACAAGGGTTGATTGCGAGGATGAAGAATATAACATCGAAATCCATTAAACAAACAACAATAAATTTAATAGTGTATTAATAGATGATTACAAATGAATTAATATAAATAACCTACAGATCGCACGAACAGTGAGTCCAAACGATACGACTATCGAGTTTCTAACTACTTACTTAATTCCATTTGAGAGAGAGAGATAGAGAGAGAGAGAGAATCAAATATAAATAGAATACCTTTGTTAATGTAGACCGCTGTCTTCTGGTAGTTGATTAGGCGTCAGCATAAAGGTTGGTGAGTATCTCAATGGAGACAGTGTTAGGAGGCAAAACAGATGAGCTTCAGTCCACGAGCTCTAAAATTGAAGTCTGCTAACTTTTAGCGAAGTGTCCGACCTGAGACAGGTGTGTTAGCGTCTTATATCCTTAAATTACCCCAATCGGAGGTTAAGATTCTTATTGTATGACAGGATACACTGATGGGTCAAGCTACAGATGTTCGACAAAAAATGTGGTTACATCTTTTTGTCAAAGAAATTTTGTTTCCTGTTTTTTTCACAAAAGTGATAAAATGTGTCGTTTTTAACACAAAAATATTATTTTAGTTTTTGGATATTAAATAAAAGTATTTCCTGTCTCAAGAATCTCATGCTGTAGTTTACAGAAGCTCAAATACAAAACCATGTTAAACACTCACAGTTTTTAGACAAGCAAAGTATGATAAAAATATACATAAATCATTTTTACCCTTAGCAAAAGTCAGTCATATTGCAAGCAATCAATAAGGCACTATATATTTTGTCAAAAAAATTAAAATTAAAACTGAAAAATGGACTGGGTGATTATAATCCTTTATGACATTGGATCAAAAGAGCATCTAATTACTTGGACTGGCATATGGAATACAGTGTGGTACATTACAAAAGTAAGAACCCTGGAATGTGACATCTCCATTTTTGTATATGCCAGAGAAAACCTGACTATATATAATTCTCTCTTATTCGTGTTATATGCATGTTAATAACGTTGATATTCGTTCCTTTGTGTGAATAACGTTCCTTTGTGTGATCTATGTACAAAGATAGATTACTATCTGTGTTTGCACATATAATCACATCACTAAGCATGAAACAAATAAAGATGTGTTAACATCATTATATATATATATATATATTAATATTACAGAAATAATAATAATAAATGTAAATTTATAAAAGTATTATGTCTGTTATCTCTAGTAGTTTTTGTTTTCCATTTCTCCCTTATACCACACAGAACTACGAGGTTTTTTCTATACATGTCGTACGTTTGACAAGATAGACACACGTTGTACTGATTCAGTGCATAGATACTAAATAATCAGTTTGAGTTATTCAGAGGAGTTTATCCATAAAATTCCTCGTATGTTTGCCCAATCGTTATGTCATGCACCAACAGCTGTAGCATCAATCTGAAACAGTATCAGCCATTTGGCTTTTACTGACTGTGCTAATAAATTCAAAGCTGTTATCGTTCATGATAATAATTAATTAAATTCTTTTAATTTATAACTGAAATCTTTATATTTTCCAGGAAAAATCCTTAATCGATTTTCAAGAGATACAAGCGGAATGGATGATATGTTACCAATCGTTTATCACGAAACTATCAGAGTAAGTTAAGATAAATAACAGATATTTTCAAATACTAACACTGAGTTTTAAAATATGAACAAACATGATTATGTTGTAAATGCAATAGTATATTTTTACAAACTACATGATATAATAAAAATTGGTTACAGTTATGCAAAATTATTACTCGTTTTGCAAAACTATTAGAATTAAATACAAAAGTTTGTAAATTGTTTTTTAAAACCACAAAATTTTTAATTTTTCCAAAACAATAATGTATGCAAATATCACCATAAACATAACGACATCTTCTGTAATAAAAAATAAATTATTATAAATTGTCAAACATTGTCATAATACTTTGTACATTTTCTTTTGTGTACTTATAGACTACCATGTGTTCCACACTTTATTATATTAATGACTTTACGGAGTATCATATATTATGTTGATTCTGATTAATCAGCAGGTCTTCTTTTGATTAGCACAAAACAAATTCCAAGTCTATTTCTTACAGAGAAATTTGTCTTGTTAGATCAACTTTGATTTACTTCGAAAAATAACTGATAATTCAATGTATAATGTGTAAAAATTTAGTTTTTGTATATACTAGTTTATAATATTTTTTCAGACATTTAGTGTGATAATCGGAATATTTGTTATCGAAGGAATTATTTGCCCTTATCTACTCATAGTGAAGTTTATAATTTTAATGTCATTTTATCTTATGTGGACGATCCATTGCCGTGTTTTGAAAAGCATAAAATATCTGGAAGGAAAATGTAAGTATTTTAGATACAGTGTGGCTATCACTAAAGTTTCTCAATTCAGAGCACTTTCTTGGTGTAAATAATAAGCGTATTGACACAAAAACTTGTAACAAAGTATGCAAATGTTGCAAAAAGAGATTATGCAAAAAAAAATTTGTTCAAAAATTTCTTCTATGAAGCAATTTAGAGAAGAAAGCATGAAACAGAACAAAATAAATAATGAAGAACATCTTTCAAACGACACTTTAATCTCTTATTATAAACAGAACAAATAAAATCAGCGAAAAATATAACATCGTGGCTCCGCAAAAACTTGAATAAAATGCTCTGAATAGGAAAACTTTTTATATTGTGTTGGAGTATTAAATATATTCCTGCAGAAAGTGATTTCAGATATATTGTATAATTACTTTGTTTTAACAGCGAGAAGTCCAGTATTTTCACATCTGAGTGCATCCCTTTACGGACTTACAACAATCAGAGCATTTAATGTTAAAAATAAATTTAAATCAACTTTTAACGAATACCAGGATAACACTGCAACGTGGTTCATTTACGTAGCATTGAATCGATGGAATTGCGCTTATTGTCAAATTATATCTTTTCTAAATCTTATTGTCACTATTGTAGTTTTATGTATTACAATGACTTCAAGTAAGTGAAAGTATCGAAATTTCTGTGTATACGTAATATATTCTATGTTACGTAATAATATATTTCTTATCTTTAGGTGATGCGGGAAGCAAAATCGGGCTTATAATAAATTATGAATTAATTTTAATTTTGTATTTTCAATGGTGTATTTATCATTTGTCTGAAACAGAGTATCAGGTAAGTTTTATATTAATTATTTATTTATCAACAATTAACACGAATCAATAATTTAATATTTTTATAATTATTATTTTATACGAAATAACTTACATCAGTATTAGTTATTCAGTTTTCATTAAGAATTAATAATAATGTATAATACATAAGAATACCATTTACGTGTTTTTAACAGTCGGTGATATTTTTGTATACTGGCAGGTAAATTTAAATTTGCTAACATTATTCATGTATAATTATGCCACACGAATAGGTTTGTCTCTTAATACTTAATATAGGTAAAAGGAAATAAAATTACAATAATTTTAAATTAAGAAAAAAAAACCAAATATTCCTTTTAGAAAGAATGTTCACAAAAATGAAAGAATATAAATAACTAAACTTCAAATGGGGTGAAAAAATGAGTAGTTCGAAATAAAGACAATTCTGTGTTACCAAATAATTCTGTTTAAATTAATCTTGATAATGTTATGCCTTAGAGTTTAATTAAAATAAATGAAGTTTCACAGTCAACTATGAATAATTGTTAATTAAAGATATTCTCACTATTTTTCAGATGAATTCCGTTGCACGTATACTGAATTATAGCAAATTGAAATCAGAAGCAGCTTACGAATCTTCTCCTGACAAACAACCTCCTGCCGATTGGCCTCAAAAAGGAGAAATTGAATTTAAAAATGTTTCGTTAAAATATTCGAATGACAGAAGTATTGTTTTAAATAATATATCTTTTCTTATTAAGCCAGGAGAAAAAGTTAGTTAATTAAAACATTTATTCCTCATAATTCTTTTGAGCAATGTTTTATTTTTATGTTCGATTGTAGATAGGAATTGTTGGACGAACGGGAGCCGGAAAGAGTTCTATAATTGCTAGTTTATTCCGTATGACAGAGCCAACAGGAATAATAACCATCGATGGAATTGACACTAAAAATATTGGTCTTCGGGAACTACGTAGTAAAATCTCAATTATTCCTCAAGTAAATTACAACAAGATTAAAGAAATTTTTTATTAGCTCGTAGAATTATTTAATTTTTGTTTTTAAATTTTGGGTTAGCATTCTTATTGCTATAAATACTGCTTGTATAAAAATATCATTATTTTTATTCATAAGTTAAAACGTGCTATGTCGTTCGGTTTGGTTGCATATGTAATATATTTACCATAATAAATTTTTGAAGAATTTGAATATAAGGCAATAATGCAATTTTCCTGTGATCGGGTTGTTACAACAGATTGCCTTGCAGCCATGATGTTTCGATCAGAATTTGGCAGAGAATAATAGAAAAGCCTTCTGGTTGTTGAAACATGACTACGGGGATGGGTCGTCCATAGATTTTGAAATATTCTGACGCTTCCGTGAAGACAATACGTAAATTCTTACCAATCCAAACAAGCAATAAAATTTTGATTCAGTTTGCTCTGGGTTGCCCAGTAAGAAAAACTTTTAGATTTAATTTTCTCTGTTTTGGCAAAATATTGTGAATTCTAAATAATACCATAACTGAACCCTAGTAAAGATTCAACACATGATCACTCGTTAACACCTAAACGAAAACAGAAAAATGCGTAAGAGTTTGTCAAGCTTTCAACACGGCAGACTCAAACATTAACTTTATGAAGAAAATTTTCGCAAGTGATAAACACTATGTTAACGATACAAACCAAGTTTGAAAACACAAAGTGTGGAGACTACTGACTTATTTCAAAACTTATGGCTTGATTAACTGGGAATTTGTACCCTTTAGTATGAAAATTAAGTTATAATTATACTTACATTTCCTGCTTCTACTGCAGATTTGTATATTAAGTTACATATATTGTTTTTAAAACAATTTCTCCCGCTTGGAAGATACCCCATATCTTCAAAGCGAGATATACGATAAATATATTACCATAATAAATAATTATATCAACTATTACAGCCCACGGTTAGCTTCTATCATTGGTTGTTGCCAAATATTGTCACTTTCCGTTTTATAGGTTAATAAGTTCTGTTATAATAGGTTGGTTATATTACAATTACTGGCATTCTTTATATTTTCGTAGATCAGATATTATTTATATTGAATTTAACCAAAAAATAGACTATTTTCAATTGTGGTCATTTCAATTTTTGTATGAACTTATTCAAGCATTGCCTATTTATGCATTAATCTTGTCATTTTACTTCATATGTGTATTATTTATTTATTAACACAGGCGATATTACCAGAACAATAATTTTGTCACAAATAACAAACAAACATAAACAACAGTAGTTGTAATTGTGTATATTCTGCATGTCTTGATACTTACTTATAAATCATGTAGGCCTGTATGCTTTATCTCTGCAAATTGTTATAAAAGAAAATGTATTTTAGTTTTCTATGTAACCAGAAAGAATGTTTATTTGATACAATTTCACAAAAATCAGTTCATTCTTATTAGCAGAAAGCCTGAAAAGAATTATAGCAGAATATACAGTACTAATATCTTTCCAATAATTATAAAATTAAGTATACAATACAATATTATTAAACAGATACCCGATAACTCTAAATGTCTAGTAATTCGATAATCAGGCTGCAGTCTGATCCTGTACCTACAAGTCTGAATAATTTCTTCTGGGCGTAAATCGAAATGAACAGTGTAATTTCTTAGAAGCTTTGAAAAACTTTATACAAAAGTAGAGAAGGATAGTTTTAGTTTTCAAAAAGTTTTATTTTGTATTACAAATACGATTCTTTCTCTTCGTATTTGAAATTTTCCTTTAATTTAGCAAAAAGGCCCTCATACAATTATAGCAACATGGAGCCCGCAAAGCGAAAAAATTCAATCTAACTGCATATTTTCTAACATTGAATCATTTAAAGTTTGTAACATATATCAATTCTATTGAACTGTCATTGTATATATAAAGAGATACTTACATGGTTTTTCTACCAGCTTCTTATTCACAATAATTATTAAAATATGTAGTGGAATGCTTTTCTCTGAACGCAAAGTTCTTAATTTATTTTTTACAAATTCCAAAATAAAAAGAATAAATATAACTTGTATGTTGTTTATAGGATCCTGTGTTATTTACTGGTACTCTTCGTAGAAACATTGACCCTTTCAATGAATATTCCGAAGAAATGTTATGGCAAGCGATCGAAAAGGTAAGAAATTCAAGAATGTTTTAAATTCACAATTTTGTTATGATTTTATTTTTATTACAGTAGAGAACTGATTATACGTATATCTTTTGTAAACATCCTTTTTATTTATTTGTGATTTTATATTTTCAAAACTAGTTCATTCTTTTTTACGATAAAATTTCAGATTATAGACTTTAAACTGATTATGAAAATTGTCATATATATTGTCATCCATTCTGTTAAAAGTAATGTATCTATCTCAAGATTTTATTTTAAAATCTAATCTAAAATTTTACAACACGTCATTTGTTCAATTGTATTTAATCAATTGCAAAAATTTCAGATGATTACAATACTTTCACACGTTCTGTTGTAACAGCAGGGAAGGTTTAACCGTAATCAATAACACAATACTATTCATTTTCATTAACATTTCAGTCTTGAAAATTTTAAAATAATTTTAAAGTTTATTACTAGGGATATGAATCATGTCTACACTAATACTAAATACAGTAGAGCCTCGATTATCCGACTCAATTGGAGACTGGGGTTGGTCGGATAATTGAAAAGTCGGATAACCGAAAAGTATGAAAAAATCCATTATTGGTGTAGTATATTATTATATCCCATGTAATTAGTATATTAATATTTCGCTATTAACCTACTTCGCGTTGAATTTTCATCGATGTTACGCGTAACAAAAATTTTTTTAAATAATAATCGTCGCTATTATATCGTTAAAAATTAGAAAATTAAACCTCGTTTAAATACTGGCTCCCTTTCATGGTCGAATAAGTGTTGCCAGCTAAAACACGTAAAAATAATATTAAAGTAGCCAAGACATAGCTAAATATTGTAGCGCCACATCACTAGCGGACATTTGAAATTTGCCGACTAGGACGATCGGTTAACCGAGGTGTCGGTTGATCGGGGGTCGGATAATCGATGCTCTACTGTACTAAAACGAATTTTTTCGCTAATAACCTTTAATTTATAATTTTTAAGTTTAACTGTAGTTTTTTTAATATTGTGTAATCGAAATTTGTCTAGATAAACCACATGCTTTTCATTATGTTAAGTACACATTTGTTGAATAAAATGTTTAGGTACAGTTGAAAGATGTTATAAAAAATTTGCCTGGAGGAATAGATACGCATTTAACTGAAGGAGGACGAAATTTCTGCGTGGGAGAAAGACAGTTAATTTGTCTTGCAAGGACAATCCTTTGTCAGAATAAAATTCTTGTCATGGACGAAGCAACATCCAATATCGACAAAATGTAAGATGACTGAGTTGTGTAATTTTACATTTTAAGGTAACCATATAAACTATTGTGTAAATACATATTATTCATTCATTCTATATTTAAATTAATTAATTAATATTATTCGTTTGTTTCGCTGTGTTCGTAAATTATATATTCATCATTTATATCGGAAAATTAGTTCTATTCCTAAATAAATAACAGGAATTCTGTGTGTTTAGAGTTTTAAGCATTAACAGTTTTTAGTAGAGTATATTCTAGTCACTACGTATTTCGTGTAAATATTCTAGCTTGTATTAAATATGAATTTATATTTTAACAATTTAAAAATCTTAAGTTTATTAAGTTATGTTAAACGTGAAAAATGTTCGGTTATTATTTACTTACAGAATTAAAACAATCACATTTTGTACTTACCCTACATGCCCTAGTCTTGTACATAAACGTTATAATCTTTGCAATCAGAGATGTTTTCATTGGAGATAAGGAAATTTTTGCGTAATCATTTGTTCTACAATTCAAAGAGAGGTTTCAAAGTAATTCATCTTCTTATGGAAAGAATTTCAGTAAAAATACATGGAGGTCTGTACGACTAAGCTGGTGTTCGATATAGCTACGATATTGTTACTCATGTTTAACGATTGTTATGTGTACGGTGTTTTTCAATTTTCTGTTTTGTTTTTGGATATATCTATATTTAAACTTGGTCTGACTTTTTTAATTATTTGATTATTTAGTGGTCCGTACAAGAACAAAGTGATACGGATTTTTTTTTATTTCCTGATGTGACGATGAGTTGAGTCTTTATGGTGTTTTTATATGATGTTAATGCAACACACCTATAATGAAGGCGCTGTTGATTTTGATAATTCCATTAACCAATTTCTAATTATATAATATATCTGTTTCAGTCTAGGGGAAACTTGCCTAATTCGTACTTGCGCCTAATTCGTACTTCGCTTATATCTTGACTCCCGTAATAGCTATTATTGTCTCTAGTAGCAAAAGAAGTAAATAACAATCGGTCATATTACCATCTGACAGACAACACGCTGTTACTCTGCTCTCGACAAAAATATTGAAAAGGAAAGTTTTTTCAACTTTTTCTCTAATATTTCGTACGAAATGTTGCAAAAACATTTCGTACGAAATTTCTTCAAATTGGATCGTATGTAAGTTTTTTAACTATCTGTGATGTATTAGTGCGTATTTTTGTGATTTCATCCGAAGTGATGAAATATGCGTATCTGTTGTCAAATTTTTTGACGACTAATGTAAAATTTGTTTGACTCTCGCGCCTATTTCGTACTCCAGGCATGTTCTTAAAACGTACTGGTACGATTTAGGAAAACCATTTTAGATGAATGTCACAATAAAGTATTACCGATTCGTAAACTTATTTTTTTTCTAAGTTTCTGATTTGAAAAATAACCACAAAAGTTCAAAACAAATTAAAACTTAATTGTCTTTAATTTTAGAACAACGTGTCAAAAAGAAAATATAATTCTTGGAGTAAAGAAAATATGAAAGAAGCGATTAAAAAATATAATGACGGGACCTTATAATTTAACGTAGTTTGTAGCGTATGGCCATTTTTATAT